GTGTGTGTGTGTGTGTGTGTGTATCTGTGTGTGTGTGTGTGTGTGTGTGTGTCAGTTCCATAGAGAATATCGGTAGCTCAGGGTTGAACTGTGGAGTTCTTTATGCTCTCTGAGCTTGGTTGTTAGCTTGCTGACATTTCATTACCCAACTAGGTAACATCATCAGTGCGAGTGATGATGTTAGTAGCTTGCAGTAAACCCCATGCTCACTCTTACTGATGATGTTACCTAGTTGGGTAATTAAATGTCTGCAAGCAAACAACCAAGCTCAGAGAGCACCAAGAACTCCATGTATGTCAGTCCCCTCCTAAGTAGCCTTTCCCACAGAACGATCCAAACTGTGAGCCACAGCAGGTTGGAGCACCTGGTTCATCTTTTCTAGGCTTTGAAGCTATGCAGGATCAAGCCTGGTTAGTACTTGGATGGTATTCCTCCATGGAATACCAGGGCTCGAGAGTGGAAAATTGAGAAAACATCCTATCAGGAGGCAATGCAAATCACTTCCATATTATTTCCAAGAAAGCTACATGGACTACTAAAGTAACCAGGAGACCATCTCAACAGGGAGATTTACCTTTTCTTTTTAATCAAGGAAGAGAAAAGGAACTAAGGCATCAGAAACAAACAAACTGGTTGAATGCATACACTTTGGGTTTCAATTTCCATAATCTCTAGCCAGCTCAGCCATTGGCAATGCTGACTGGAGATGTGTATTACTTATGTATCAGAACTGTACCAACTTGGAAAGACTGCTCTAGTAACAGCCAAAAGCTGAAACACCAATTCAGAGACACACCTAAGCTCCTAACATTTCACAGATGAAAGTAGAGGAGATTCTATTTTCATATTGACTGAGCACACGACCATCCACACCACCCATTATGGCTGACCACCACCTTTTCTTTCTTTTGCAACAATTTCTGGTACACCAACTTGTAACAATAGAGCACATGCTTAATGTGCAGAAGATTTTGGATTCCACTTCCTGCATTACCAACCAGGTCAATCTGGATTTCAGCAAATACAGAGGTATGCAGTGGGGTACCTCAGGATTCTGCCCTGGGCCCAAGGTGGTTCTTCATAAATGACTTGGATGAGGGAATAGAAGACATGCTCATAACATCTGCAGATGACACAAAGCTGAGGTGGGATTGCTAATACCCCAGAAACAATCTCATGATTCAAAAAGATCTTGAAAAACTTGAACATTGGGCCCTATCCAACAAAATGTTGTTCAATGTTGAGAAAGGTAGGCAGGAAAAACCAGGTGCGCATGTACAAGATAGGTGGTACCTGGCTTAGCAACAGTACTTGTGAGAAAGATCTGGGTGTCTTGGTAGACCACAGATTAAGGATGAGCCAGCAATGTACTGCAGCTGCCAAAAAAAGCCAATGCAGTTTGGGGCTGCATCAATAGAGGTATAGTGTCACAATTACAGGACATGATAATACTGTCTGTGCTGCACTGGTCAGGCCACACCTGGAATACTGTGCTCGGTTCTGGCTGCCACAATACAAGAAGGATGCTGAGGAACTGGAAAGAGTGCAAAGAAGAGCAAAAAAGATGGTAAGGGGCCTGGAGGCTAAATCTTACTAACAGCAGTTAAAGGAACTTGGTATGTTTGGCCTAAAGAAGAGAAGGCTAAGGGGAGACGTGATAGCAGTCTTCTAGTACATGAAGGGACGTCACAGGGAAGAGGATCTGAATTTATTCTCCAGAGCGCCTGCAAGTATGACAAGAACCAAAGGATGGAAGCTTTACAGTGAGAGATCCAAACTTAAAATAAGGAGGAATTTCCCGACTGGGAGAGCTATTCAGCAATGGAACGGTCTGCCTCCTGAAGTCATTGATACTCCATCACTGGAAGTTTTCAAGAAAAGATTGGACAACCGTTTGTCTGAACGATATGAGGATTTCTGCACTGGGCAAGGGGTAAGACTAGGGTTGACCTCCAAGGTCCCTTTCAACCCTATGATTCTATGAATTTACTTTTTAAAACAACTGTTTTAAGAACTGGATAAGATTTTTCTATTCAATATAGATTTGGATATTTTTAAATTCTTTTGACTTTTTTCCTACTAAAGCAAAAAACTTCACTTACACCTTATGGTAGGCAGCAGTAGAAAACAATACTTAGGGCTAAGGTCAGTTTCCACTGGTCCACCGTGTTGCATCCAGAACAGGATAAGTCTGAGAGCACACAGGTACTATATTTTAACTAATTTTCTAAGTATGTTTTAAGTTCCGGAGCACTCAAATATTTGCACTCTTTTCTTTGCCAATCTAATAGATTACCATAAGGTTGTATTGGTTCAAGTGGGGTTGCCCAATACATAGCTATTGTATTTTTTTTTAATGTACTGTACCTCCTCTGTCTTACCTCAGTGTGGTACTTTCCACCTACAGTTACAGAACACCTCTTGAATAAACATGACTGGTCAGAAGTTAAAAATTCCAGCTGTAACATACTGCCTATCTTTATATAAGTAGTCCTCGACTTATGACCACAACTGGGACCGGAACCTCTGTCGCTAAGCAATGCAGTTGTTAAGTGAGTCGCGCCCAATTTTACAATCTTTTTGCCATGGTCGTTAAGCAAAATACGTGGTTGTTAAGTGAGTCTTGACTTTGCTTCTTGGAGGCCACTTGGGAAGGTCACAAATGACAATCATGACCTTGGGACCCTGCAACTGTCATAAATACATGCCAGTCGCCAAGTGCCGGAATTTTGATCACATAACCATGGGGACACTGCGATGGTTGTAAGTGTGAGAACCGGTCATAAGTCACTTTTTTCAGCACCCTCGTAACTTTGAACGGTCATTAAGTGAGTGGTCTAAGTTGAGGACTACCGATACGCCACCTGTTATTCCTAACCCTAAATCAGTTCTTGGAATGAGTAGTGAAGAGCTCCAGGATTTCAGAAACTTTTCATAACTTGGGTCTGGACAATGATTATTAGTTAGAATTCATACTCACATTCTCCCTGCTGTTGCTTAATTCCTTTTGAAAGCCAAAATACTCTTAGCTATGTAGGCATGTTTCTGACATGACTGGAGTTATATAGTTTGACACTGAGTCTCCTCGGGTGCCATTGTGTTACTATTGTTTTATTGTTGGTTACTCTCATTTATTGATGTCTCTGTTGGTTTCTTTAGTTTGGTGTTTGCTGCTCAGAGTCAAGATTGTGAGATGGAAAGCTGTATAAATCGAATAACATGAATGAATAAATAAATGAATAAATTCTAGGTTGTACAGAAGTGGAAGCAGATATTTTACCAAAGCTGATAACAAGTACTTTTCCAGCTAATGGCCATATTAGCTGAGGATGATGGAGTCCGTTCTGATACGCCTGCCTCTAACACTCTTAATGCAGCCCAAGAATGCTTCCCTACAAATGACCACTACATTACAAGTGTCTGTGTCACAGAAAGGGGGAATTCTGAAACAAGTGAACAGCTGCCCAATTAACTTTCATTAAATTCAATTTAGGTTTTATCCTCACCCCATCTACTTTTTGGATGGCCACCCCTGCAAGGCTATTGGAAGGCCCACAGCAGCCCACAGTCTGAAAAATTCTGAGCAGGTCTACCTAGCGTACTGCCAGATTTTAGCGTTATCTAGCCTAGGCTCTGGAGAAGGTTGGGGGTGAGTGGGGAGAACACTTGTGTTCTTCTTGGCCTGTAAATGTTACCAGGATACACTGAAAATTGTTGCTCACAGCAAGACACTGACTCAAATTACGAATCTGAGATGTCTGATTCACTTCCCTTAATGCTGGGTTTTTCTAGGGGATTGACAGAAGGTGTGGTGCAGGTAGTCAAACAAGAGCTGAGTCACTTAGGCAAAAGGATATGTGACATCCAATTAAAAAAAACTTGCATGGTACATACAATCAGT